TTTGAGTGAATAATCTTCAGTAGTTTCTAAAATATCGCAGTTTTCGTATTTCTGAAAATTAACGTTATATTGGAGATAGGCGTGGTTATTGTCCGATTTTGCCCATTTTCAATACCATCCGTCCTACGCCAGAAGGAAGTGCACGTACCAAGTTTCGTTAAGATATCTCAATTTTTACTCGAGTTATCGCGTGCACAGGCGGACGGACCGACAGTCACCGATTAATCGATTTCTCTTTTAATTGTGATCATTTATGTATACATTTGTCTATATCTATCTCGATTCGTTTTGCCTGTTACAAACAACCGTTATTTGAATAAAGTTATAATACCCTTGTGCACAAGTGCGCTCGGGTATAAAAATGAAATGATTGCAAATAATACATATGTATAATAGCTTCGAAAAAACAAATAAGCATAGCCTTTTTGGTTGGTAAACAAATCAATGAGATCAATGATAGTAAATATTGGGGGTACAGGTTTCCAAGGATTGTTTTTTAATTTTTATTTTATAATTAAGACATAAAACGACGTGTTTTAATGTTACGAATAGTAATTAAACACAAAAACGTTATTTTTAGTAAATTTTCCTTAGCCCGTATACCCAACAATCCTCAATCAGTATAAATTTGGAATTCCGAACAATATTTTTAACATTCAGCTTCATTCTCTTAACCAGCAACGAAAATTGCTCACCGTTTGTGGTCCGAGAATACCAAAAGTTCTCAATTCGATCCGCATTTCAAGCGAAAGGCATTCTTGGGTTACCGGGAAAGGCATGATTATGTTCCTCAAATATAGTTCCTTCAGCAGGTTCATAGAGCATTTTTATATTTTTTAACATTTTCCTCATAGGTTTTCTTCTCCTTGCTCAAGCAATTAGCAAAATGGCGTTTTTGCATTTTCAGTATCACTTTGTACTTGCCTTTAAAATAAAGGATAAATGTGAGAATTGAAGAATTGAAGAATTTTCCATATCGTGGTCTCTTTTTCACACATAAACCCTTAGACCAGTGATGAAATTGATGGTACAATTGTACTTTTTTGGTACATTTTGGATCCCAAAAGTACATTGGTGCTACATCGACATTTTTGATACAATTTTGTCAAAGCATTACGAAAAATTGTGTAGAAATACGACTTGTGGATTAAAATGCAGTCATATTTTTCCTACTTTATACAAGTAAATGCGTGGTGTTTATTAAAAACGAAAGACTTTTTAAAATCATCAAACAGCTGCTGTTATAATATAAGCAACTGTTTCTTTGTAAAATTTTTGTGCTACTCGCACTTAATAAACATACTTGTATGGTTTTGTTGATTAACTTGAATTATTGATTTGTACTGGAAACTTAGGGGTTTCATGGCCTTTTTAAACTATGCATATGTACAAGTACATATAACGTTACGCACCCAAGTCAACGCACGAAATTTTTCCAGATTTTTGGTGCAGTACACACTGGCCGAACCAAAAAACTGTTCTAACTAAAGCAGAGTGATTAATTAATGCCGATAAGATTGAAAGGGTATTTAAAATTAACGAGTAAGTCTTAATTTTTGCGGAAAGTCACCCAGTTTTTTTTTATGCAAAAAACACTAAAAATAAGATAATTACTTATGCCTATTTATTGCTTCAGGGGTTTCAATGGTTTTCTTGATTTTATATTTTCGTGGAATTAGACTCTTAGAAAAAAAAAAACAAAAAATGTGAAATATTTCCAGAAGGTCACTTTTAGGTGGAAAAGGATTATTTAAATCGCTTGTTTCTCCAAAAGTGTTCAAATGGCATATATGGGAAGTTGTTGCTGAAGAAAGGTTAAACAAAAAGCCTGCCTCCCAAGAAAACGTCACGTTAATGTCATGAAGAAGGCGGAAAAAAACTCCAACATTGGCTTATCTGATAAATGAGTTAAAAGTGGTATGCAAATGTTACATTCTGGAAACAATTTTACAAAAATGCAAAAATAAGAACAAAAATTAATTTTTGAAGAGCCTGAAAGCAGTTTCGTCATCAAGTCAGTGAACGATTTTAGAGGATACGATTATCAATCTTAAAAAAAAATATATAAAATACCTGTCATGAACATTTTGTTTGGAAATTACCCGTATACATATGTATGTATGGCTGGTCTTTTAAATTTTGGTACTTTTTCGGCAAATTTAGTACATCATTTTTGTCCATTTGGTCAAAAATTAAAAAAATCATTTATCATCCCTGCCTTAGACTGTGTTTATACACTGAAACTTTTGTCGACGCGAATTTTCACATTCCCTTTTGGTGTTGCTCATTTCATTTACACACGGCAATTTTTGTTAATGCAATTGTTGTTGTCTCAATTTACACAGACAGCATAAAGCGTGTTGCCCGAGCACGAGCAACTCGGTGCACCTCTCCTTTTCTCGTCACGCTCTCTCCTACAAACGTCGAGTTGCGGCAACAAAAATCGCCGTGTGTAAATGAGCAAAATAAGCAAAGAAGCAATATAAAAAACAATCTACGTGAATTGAAGGAAAACAAAATTTGGACATGTGGCTTTGAGTGTGTTGGTGAAATAGCAATTTTTGTTTGAATGTATTGGAGTTTGCGTTTGTCGTGTCTGGTAAGGATATGAAAGTTTTGGCAATACTTATCTTTGATAATTGTTACATAAAATACTCATTAATTATTTCTATTAAATATAATAACAGATAATTCTTATTAGTGATTTTTGTAATACATATCAAATAAAATTTTGTATTAACGGCTTCCGCAGGAGAAATGTCTCACAGATGAGGCTGAAAAGTTTATCTGTAGTAGATAAGCATTTGACTCAGCCTAGATGTAGGCAATTCAAACATGGTGGTTTTACTGCAACCGGCGCCATCTACAGTTCACGCTAAAATAATCAAAATTTGTAAATAATAAACGTGACATTTGTTTGACAACAACAGACAATCAGCTGATTTTAATGCAGGGTTGAAATCGCGGCAGGGTTGGAACTCCAGCAAGTCTATTTGCTACTAAATATGGTCTAAATCGTAGCAGATAATAATATTTGGTATTCGATTTTTTATCTATAACTAGAAGACACATATTTTTCGACCAGAATAAGAAACCTGATTAAGGTTTGATCATAGTGTCATCCTCTTATATCTTAAATAAGTGTGATACTTAAGCGAACTTGCGCCATATAGGTATTCTCTTATACTGTCGTTAATGGTTGGAACTGTTAGAAATTATGTGAGTTGTGACACTTCCAAAAAAAATAATGCCGTTTAGAAATACATATATAGATGTATAAATAGATGTACCTATGCATATTACATTTAGGTAAAACTACAGTTGAAAGTTAATTCCTTCGTAATTATTTTTAAACCCACACATTAAAAGGGATTTACCATTGCTTCAATACAAGTAAATGTGTCGTAAGTTAAGCAAAAGACAATTAATGTGAATAATTTTTGGTAGTGCCAGCGCTTTTTAAGTAGATCTGGCATAAAGCGGACAAGTTAAGTCAATGTTTAATACTATCGAAAATCCCATTAAATGTACTGCGATCATAGTGGCGTACTAACCCTAATCAGTTCTTGCCATCCAATCGGTCTGCTTGCTTTCTTCAATTCAGTTTTCAATTAGACACCGGAGAATATTGAATGGTAGTGTTCAGATTGCTCCGCGTCGCAGTGTTTTTGATCGATGCGTGTTTGTTTCTTTTCTTCAATGCCTGGTCTCTGCTATCTGCTAATTAATCGTTTTTTCGTAGCGTGTAGAAAAATCGAAAGAGTTAATCGGTGCAGAATTAGTGAAATTGCGGAAATTGAATTGAAATTCTTACGCGACTAGCAGAAGCGGAAATAAAAGTGTGTAAGTTTAGCAAAGTTGTTTCTGTGGTGTAGTTAAAAAATTTATGCATATACATATGTATGTATATGCACATATATGCGCTAAGTGGT